TTAATGACTCACTCTTGGCACTCACACTAAGAAAACACTTAAATAATACGAAACACTGGCCTACTTAAGCTATGTTGGACACTCTCCAACATTCCCTTTAAATATAAATCTCGCTCTTCAAACTATTTTCCCCAAATAATTTAAAATTTTTCATCAATAACTGTTCATGTCAGCGTCTTCACACCACAACTCTATAATCTTAGGTGCTAGATGATGGTGCTACGACTTTAGGTTATGGTACTAAGGTACTGGATTTTGGTATTGCAGCATTGGATTCTAGCACATAGGCTCTGGGTTATCTGTCTTTAGAACCTTTATTTTAGCATCTAGGATCTATTTTTTTGCACTATGATGCTAGATTTTGGCACTGCGATGTTGGATTCTTATGCCTAAGCTCAGGGACTCTATCTTTTGGGCTTTCGTTCTAGCAGTGTGGTGCTGGATTTTGATGTTGTGGTATTGGCTTATAAAACGGTGGCTCTAGCTTTTGGAGCTTTAGCTCTGATTCTAGCGCTAAACTCTAGATTCTAAAGCCTAGGCTCTACTTCAACACTTTTACTATTTTATTTCCAGCTTTTTATCTTACAATGATTTTGCATGATATTAAATAAAAGCACTATAAATAACATATAACCACATAATATTTATGCACAAATAAATAACTATATTTAGAACCTTATAATATTTTTCCACTCAATAAATCTCCCAAATTTAAACATTACTTGTCCCAGTGATATCTATTTTTTTAAGTTTTATAGCCTAGATATTTGAGTAGCAATTACATTAAAAAATATTTTCAACTGAATCATCTAGTGAGAATAAGTTTTAAGCCTTATGAAATGTAAGAATTTGCATGGAATAATTATATTATAATTGTTTACATAAAATAAGTATTGTTTTAATCCAATTTGCTTAATCGTTTTGTGTGCATCATTGTCTAAAATTTAATTATTTGACAAGCAAACAAAAATTTTTTGACCTACAATCATTTAAGTGTAATTTAGATTTTATCAGTTAAAATATAATACTCTAACATCAATGTGATTTTGAATTGTTTAAGCTAAGAAGATTATAGGTGCCAATTTTTCTATATTTAGACTTATCATCAAGCTTTTTCCCATTTTAGCTTTTCTTAGTAATTTTTACTTTTAAGCATCATTAGCTTTCTTTACGCTTTTTTTTTCTTTTAAAGATAATCATTTCTTAAGAAGTTTATTAATAATTTTGATTATCAAATCTTCCTTACTTAAATTAATTCTAATTTCTTAGTAATTATTAAATGATACAAATCTATTTTTAAGTTATATGTATTGATATGTGTAAAATTTTAATATCACTTACTTATTTAAATTAGATATATATACTATTAATGCAATTTTTCAAAAGAAATAATTGTTCATGGATTTTGTTGTTAGTTTTAGTTTATTTAGAGGAGTGGTGGGAGGAGTAATAGTTAGTGAATGAAAAATGTTTTTCTTTTTTTATTCATTTTGTGGGGTTGGTGAGATTTTATATACCAATAAAAAGAAAAACTTATACATGGCTAAGAACAAATCATAAAACACCATGCAAAATTAACTTATAAATTTGTCTAATGCTATATTTCTAAGTAAAATTGTATGAAACAAAGGTAGAAACAAACTCACTTAATTTGTAATCAACATAAGTTGATTATTTTGTATTCCTTCACATTTCACGAAATGTTTTTTTTCCATCTCATAATTGTTGGTATCAACTCTTTCATGTCAGGCTTCACATGCTACTAAGTTTAAAAAATCATTAAATTTTAATTTTATTAAATTAGAAGATAAGATATATAAATAATTTTAGTAAACACTTATATATTTATGATTTTGAATTTCTTATTATATCGAAAGAGAAAACATCACTTGTGTAACTAATGTATAATTAAGGAGTTGTTCTGTCCTTATCTTCACTGTGATGATAACAAATTAGTTAACTAGGAAATTTTAAAGAAAAGAGCCAATTATAATGAGAATAATCATGAAGATTTTTAGTATAAGCCAACAAAATTTTGGGTACATTTTAATTGTGATAATGAAAAAATAAGTAAAAATTTTATGTACAATCTATTTAAATAAATAATATCATAATGATTATAAATCCTCACTTTATTCTTAATATTAATAGAAGTTGATCTAGAGAATGGCTTTTTTATTCTTGTGACTTCTTCTCCATGATTTGGAAGCCAAATTATAAGACAACTTTATCATTAGTGAAAACCAGTAGGGGATCACATATTAAAAAGTATGTTCTGGAAAATACATTTCTTTATAAAAAATAAATAAATAGTGCAGTCAATAGGATTGATGTAAATTTGTAATTAATCTCTTTGTGTTTGTAAAAAGCTGTCATGCCCTTTTTAAAAATATTCAATAAAACATTATGCTACAGTTATGTTAGGCTTGAGTGAGAGTACATAATATGTATAAGAAAATGATATCTTTCACTATAAGATAAGTCTAATGTTTGCAACAATGATTATTCAATTTTCATAAAAGGTACATTCTTATGCACATATAAAATAATATAATATCTCTTAGTGTAAGATTAGAACAATCACACCCCAGATCAGAAATGTGATACATCCTGTCAACATAAGACCTGATAAAATAAATTGAACATATTTTGTATTCTCAAAAAAAATATTTTATGCAAGTAATAATAAAAATAATAATTTTATTTTATTACATAAATAAGAGTCGAACTGATATATTTAGAAGAAAAATAAACAAAGTAGCTGAAATAAAATTGAAATGATAATAAAGAAACAACTACCCAAAACCCAAAAGAGGAAATAAAATAATAAAAGCAAATAATAAAAATTCCAAAAAGAAATCTAGAATTGGAATGATTGTTCCTGTGAAAATTTTCCTTTAAGTGGTTAAATCAATTATGTTATGCAAAAATATCAACAAGTGAGTTTGACAAATCAAACTCAATAAATAATGATAATTTATTAAAACATAAATGATAATGACCGAGGCACGCTGTATGAATAATAAAAAATTAATTTTCTTATATGTACATATAGACTATTATAAAGGCCAAAATTGAAATCAGAATGATATGAACATGCTTAATCCAATTAAAGAAATCTGACATGATTGATAAATAACTGCAATCACCTCAATTCAATCAATTCTTACAAACACAAAAATTAACATTTATTTGTTATTTAATATCAAATAAATTTATATTAATATATAATTGATTTTTATTAAATACCCTGAAACTGGTAAGGTAAACATCAATCCAAAAAAATCCAAATGATTTTTTGTGGAGGCGTCATTTTGTGGGTCCATCAGCATGACTAGCCAATATCTAACAAGATTTCAACGACTTACATATGCTACCGTAAATCATAACAAATACTAGGAAACATAAATGTCATAACTACAAAGCTAACAAATCAATGTGGATAATTTCATATGATGAACAATAAAAGTGTCCTAGAATAGTAAAAATAATATAATTGAAATAAAATGGATAAGTTTTGTAATCCTGCAAATTAGTTAGGATTCTAATATAAACAACAATGATAACTGCCCTAATAATGAAGGGAACAATTATCCCTCAATAAATAACAGCCACTTACGTCAAGTCAAGAAACAAAAACTCTGAATTTAAGAACAATTTAAATAATGTCGAGCAAGCCCTACACAAATCAGAATCCTAAAAAATTAACAAGGATGCAATTTAAATATATTAGGATTAATTAACTTTTAGTTTAGGTGTAAAATAATTAACATAGCTTGTATGCATATCTAAGCTCAAACTCTTACTCATCAAAATAATGCTTTTGCCCCATTGGTGTAACTTCCTAGGAGGTCACACATCCCGGGAGTGCTCTTAAGGGATCACACTAAATTCCAACGCTACACCAAAAGAAGCCTTTAAGTTTTAGTTTTTAGCTTCATTCCACTTAAGGGGTTTTACAATCTCTCTCTCCCACTCAAGTAATTGACGTCCTTATCAATTTTTAAGCCCAAAATTATCCACCAAACATATAAAATTCTAGAGGTGGCCCTTATAGGTTCAAGAGGCGGTTCTAACCATGTATCACTTTGTCCCATCTTGGGTTCAAGAGGTGACCCACATGGTGTAGCATTTTATTTTGTATGACATATACTTTCCATCTTCGCGTTGGTGTAATGCATTGATACCATTTTTAACAGCCCGAACTTTTACCCATTAAGATATTGCTCGCTTTGGCTTAGTGACTTCACAATTTTGCCCATTTGGTGTAACTTTCCAAGAGTTCATCTATCCCAAGTGTGTTTCAATGCGAACAGACTTAACTTTAGAGTTTTTTATGAAATTCCCACTACACCAAAAGGCAAGTTAAGGTTTATAAGTTCAACTTCATTCTATGTAAGGGTTTTCACAAGAACTAAGCTTCAATGCAAATGTTGTTGAGCTTTGATTGGATTACACAACTATGCACTAAAAAGGACTCCACAAATATGAAGTAGGTTTGCTCTAAAAATTTTATCAAGAATTTTAACATATTACTATGCACTTGGAAAAATTCTTATACAATATCAAGCACACAATTGTTGATTTTGTTAGGACTTTCAACATATTGAAATGAAAAAGTAGAAAAAAAATGTGTTGTTATTGGTTTATAAATAAGTTCAACATAATAACTAAATTACAAATATTTAGATATAAGAATAAAATGCATATGAACTACTTTGAAGGGCATGATACTTTTATTGAGAATATAAAAATTAGTTTTGAAGTACATAATTTTAACACAGTTACTTACAATATAGTGATTGGAGATATAGTTTCACACGGTAAGATTAATGTTGCAGATTCAAACTGTGTTTGCTATCATTTGAGTTTAACAATTAAAAAAATACATAACTTTATAATGAAAATGTCCAAAAAATATGAAGTACTTTTTTTTTTTTTAAAGGGGGCTCAAATATGAAGTACTTATGTGAATACTTTTTAATTGGATTTGTGAAACTTGAAAATGGTTGAAGGCACGCCAATGCACTCCCAGCTCAGCTCAGGAGAGGTTTAGGAAGAAGTGCTTCCATGGCGAAGGGGTCCTCTATACAGGCCCTGTATGAGCTCTCCAAGAAGACCTTCACCCCCTCCGCCGTCTCTCCCTCTTCTAAGTCAATTTGGAAGCTCTGCTCTCTCATGGGTAAACCCCTTCCTTTTCCTTCTCCACATTCTCAAGCTTCCCTCTGCAAACTATCACTCCATTTCCAAATGATTTTTGTCTTTGGGAAACGTTTTGTTCTTTTTTTCCCTTGTTTTCGGAACTTGGGTTGGTTAGGGTCTGTAAATTGCGGCTCTCTTGGGATTTAGTTGGATGAGATTTTTTTCCTGAGTTGGAGCCGGTAGAAGGACTGCAGCTACATCGGGTGTGGTTGATGTTTATGATTTTTTGGAGCGTTGCTTTGAATTATGAGGCATTAACTGTTATGATTAGAAGGGCCTTTGGATGGTCAGTACAAATGTTGCTTGAGTAGAATTGTCTGTCGAACTAGTCCAAGCGATCAGATAGTGAAGATGAGGACGAATCTAGGCTTTTGATTTGTTGTGGAGGGTGTATTGCTGCAGTAGCGTTCCATAACTTATTTCATTGCGTAGTGCCATTTTTACTGGCTTATAGAGTAATGTCCAGGGTTCTTGCTGGTTATAGCTAAATGAATGAATTTTTTTGCGATTAAAAGATATTATACACATTTAGGGTACAATGATCCTTAGTTGCTTGATAAACACTAGCCTTTAGCCATGGCAAACATTGCAAAATCACAAGATGAAACTTACTAGAGGCTAAAGGCTTTGAGCATCCTATAAAATATGGCCATTCTGTTGTTGTTTAGCATGCTCATTAGTACTCGTTCTTGCCTGGTTATAGTCAAGCTGATAATATGAGACATTTATAGGGCTTAAGCAGCTATTGAGTGAATCCATCATGAACCTGGGACTGCTATGATGTCATAGAAGGTAGTATATCAGAGTAGGGTCTACGTTTGTTTTCTTACACTCAAACTGCCTTTTTATATCGAAGGAGTTTGAGTGTACAAGTTCACCTTTCTCCCAATTTGCAGATAAATTCTTCATCTTCCTTGGGCTTAAGAATTTTATTTGTTGCCAAAAATGCACAACGATACGTTGATTAGCTAAGTGAACCAAAACAAAGCTTTTTTTTTCATGCTTTTGTATGAGGCTCTTTTTCTTCTAATTTTCAGATTTTATTCTCTTCTAGATTTAAACTATAGGTTTATTTTAGTTGTATGATGATGGTGATTCCTTTGAGATCCCTTACATCTATTCCATATTCTTTTGCATGGTCGCCCTCGCCCGTAATAACCAACCAAGTGGCCTTAAGGATGGAGCCCCTTGAGATTCTTGAGGTCCTTTTACCTTCCAATTCTACATTCCATGAAAGCAAGAAAACAAAGAAGAAAAATTCATCTGCAATAAATAGATGATAATGAGGCCTATTTAACTCAATCCCCAGGTCAACAGGGAATTTAGGAAAAAAAAAAGATACACTACTCTCTTTTCCCTCTTCTAGCCTCTTAAGTACCGATTTAGGTCTTACATTAAGAACTTGTATCTAATCATATTCTTGGTTATCATGTGTATTGCTTTGCCTCTCAAATTATATTATTATGTTGTTGTGTCTTGGTACAAAAGGGGAGTCATAGTTCTTGGATTCAACTTTTTTCTTCGCAAGGTAGTATGGATAGTGAATGCTTACTTAAAGACCTAGAAAACTAGTTGAGACCTAATATGTTATGAGCTTTAACACTTGTTTACCATGCGAGTGCTTCACCTCTACTAAGGGCCAAAGACTTATCCTAAGGACTAGCCTATTACATTTGCTTGCCTGACATTGTGGACTCTTTGATGAAGGACTTAGGCTCACTTTGGATTTGGATCCAACATTGCGATCGATTAATTACTCCTCTTTTGAAGTCGTTGATGATTGTTTGCGAGCAGTTATTTTTAAGACTTCATTTTGTCTCCATCATCTTGCCAACTACTTAGGTTAGTCTCCATTGTTAATTTCCTTGCATTATTGAGTTTGTTTTTTGCGTAGATTTGTTTTTGTGGATGAAAATTATAGGTTCTTAATAAGATTATCTCTTTGTGACGTTCGGTCAATAGATATATAATAATCTACTATTTTCTTATATTTTGGTGTATTTTCCATCAAACAATTTTTTTTAGTTTGACTTGTATGATTCAAATTTGTTCTTCTACTTGCAGTATGTAGTGGATAACGCCTTTCAAGTAATCAAAAAGCTCATTTTTTTTATTTGATAGAGCTTACAAAGAATCATTGCATTTGTGCACATTCATAATTGTTATATCTTGATTGCAATTAGATCTTCAATTTGAAAACTAGCAGTCTAATGATGTTCAATATGCCTTTTGTATTGAGATAACACTTTATCTATTTCCAGGCTTCATTGGCTAGTTTGGTAGTTGACAAATGTTTAAATGAGCCAATTTGTCTTTTCAAGGGCTAAATTTGATATTTCTTCTTTAATCCAACAAATGAGATAAGATATATTCTCGGGTTTATTAGTTGTGATAACTAATTAATAAAATCACAACTTGCCCCATGCTTTAATAGTTGGTTCCATCTTGAGATTCATGATAGAATCATGCCTTTGAATTGAGATTTTATTGAGTGATAATTTTGGCATCAAAAGATTAATTTTTTTGGGAATGTTTTGTCTCTTTAGACAATTTTTGTTAGTAATGGTCGTTTGATATCTGATGTGGTGACATTTTTCTTGACTGTTGTCCTTATTGTCTCTTAAAGAGCTTTTTCCTTGTATCATGTTGGTCAAGAGGCCAATGATAAGGATTTACCTTCAATGATAAAGGAGAAAGACTCTCTTTCCTTATCTTATAGTGTGTTCAAAACTGCCTCAATTGCTTGTTACATTATAAATGAATCTTTGTTTCTTGTTTTCACGTTGTCCCTTATTAAAATATCCATTCTATGAGTTTACTGACTTTTTTTTTATTGCTCTTTTATTTTGTCTGTTCTTTGATACACATTGTAACTTCTTCCACATGTTGTGATTTTCCTCTATCTTGCCATCTTTTTTCCATTATGCTAAAATCTATTATTTGAATTGAATCAAGATTTTTCACGTATTGGTTTATCCTTTCATTTCTTGTGTATAGGATAGGTACTTCTTCAAATGACGACACTTCTAGCTACCAATACTGTAGATAATGGAAACAAAGAGGTTGGGGAGGAGAAGGATAAAGAAGATTGGCATAAGAAAAGCTCTTATAGATGCTTGACTACTTTGAATCTTTATTATGCGTTATTGGGGTTACATACTTTTGCATGCTAAAAAAAGTCAACTAAGCACCATTGTACTCTAACAAACAAATCTACTTTTTACGATGTATCAATCAATTTAACTGAATACAACTATGTATAGCTATACTTTAACATTCAAAGCTAATTACTACATTTCGTGAAACAGTGTAACTAAGCATAGCTGTCTAACAATCTCTCTTCCAACATACTGACAGCTAATAGCTTGCCCTTCTTGTCGGCTTAATCTCATGTATTATCATCTTTTCTTTAACCATTTTGGAAATCTCTTAACCACTATGGTTGTTTCCTTACCCTTCCCTGTTTATTTCTTTTTGCGTTATTACATCATTACCCTCTGTCAAAAACAAAATTGTCCTCATGGTCAATTTGAAGATAACATAATTGTAACTCATTCAAGAATACCAAAGAAGCATATTTGGCTATTATTTGTACCATCATACTAAAGCTTGCAAAACTATTTTGTCATTATTATGTGTTATTGAAGTACTTTTAGTGGTTTAACCAGGGGTTGTTATTTTATAAACTGTGCCAGTAATATTGCAAGTTGACATTTCGAATCTTCTTGAATTAATTGAGGAATGACACTTGAAATGTAGGATGAATTTTTGCTATCAATGATATCTCAATTTGATATACTATGGTGCAAATTTTTTAATGATTTGAAATGGCCCATAATAGCATTGATTGAGCTTACTAAGTTGGTAATCGAACATGTGGATTTTATTTATTAATTTTCTCATGTGAGTTTGAGTGTTAATTTGAGATAAAATAATTGAAGATATTTGTCTCTTTCTCCTAATATTCATTCATAGCCTTGATATTTGATGGATGAGAATTGTATGGAATAATCGGAGGTACTCTTTCATAAACTATTTGAAAGTATGTTGTGGTATGTTTAGCCATATTGTAAGAAAATTCTTCCCATGATATGAGCATAAGCAAATTAGTAGGCATATTGATGCGAAAACTTATTTGAGTCATTGATTTGGAACTTTCCTTTAGTTGCTTTATTCTGTATGATAGGAACTTTTATAGCTTAATCTATTTTCTCTGAGATGAAATACTTCTTTCTAAAATGAACTCACAAAAGTTGGATCTCCATCAAACACAATTATTTGTGGAATATAATGTAATTTGCAAACATTGTAAATAAAAATTCTCGCCATTGTTGTTGCTAAAAAATTATAAGGGCAATTATGCGCATACCTGGATGGCCAATCAATGATCACAAAAATAGTATATTCTTCTTGTGATTTCGACAAACCCATGATGAAATCTATAGCATTTTTTTCCCCTCAAATAACACTTGAATAGCCAATTGTTCTAACAAACTCGTGGGTTTTTCTGTCATATTTTACTTGTTGATGAGTTGATATTTATCAATAAATTGATAAGTATCTTTCTTTATCCCCTACCAAAACAACTAAGCCATAACACGAGCCATTGTTCGTTTTATTCTCCTAGGACCCTGAATCGGCCTGCAATGTAATTCAGTTAAGACACAATTTAGTAAATTTGAAACTAAGGATAGAAACAATTGTTTCTTAAAATAAAGCAATCCATCTTGATTGTAGTAAAAATAAAATTAATCTGGATTATTGGTAATATTCCTAAGTAGCTATTGTAGATTTGTCAAATGCGATAATTCTTTTTTGATTTGCTCCATCATTGTTGCTAATTGCCTTGTGCAATCTAATAGAGTTTCTAGTTGTATGTTTGATAATTCCTTCATATCCGACTTGTGAGATAAAGCTTCCACAACTTAATTTTATGCTTTCGGATTGTGCTGAACGATGTAATCAAACCCTAACAATTTG